ATATCTCACATAGTTGTGGGTGTGTGTGGTGAGAACAGTAAAGATCTACTCTCTTAACAAACTTTAAGCATACAATACTCTGTTATTAACTATAGCCACCATGTTGCACATTAGGTCTGCAAAACATATTCACGTTATATCTGAATTATGTACCCTCTTACCAAAGTCTTCCCTAGTTAATTGCTATCAGTTATAAAACAACTTTATACAACCCATATTTAGACTCCTATAGCAATAGCTCCTCTAATAATAAAAACTGAGATGATGAAAACAGATATGCCTCTGAAAATGGGGAAATTCACCATAGTGACTATTTTATAAAGTTAAGCAAATCAATAATTTACCAAGGAAGGAATTTTCAGCAAATGAACCCTATCAGTGTTTAGAATCATTTAGCTACCATGGGCTAAATTACATAACCTGTAATTTTGAGTAAATTATGTTGCTATCTCCAGTTTCCTGGAACACAGAAAAGATACTCCATGTATATAGTTTTGGGAATGTTGCAAATGAGAATTTAGTTTTGTGGAATACATCTTGGTACAAAAAGGCCCTAACCTAGGATGAATGAACTGATTAAGGAAGAGCTAATGGAAAAAAGGGAGGTAGGGAGGAAGAGGGAGAAAGACAGGAGAGGAAGAAAGAGACAGGAAAGGAGGAAAGGAAGAAACGGAAGAAACGGAAGAAACGGAAGGAAGGAAGGAAGGAAGGAAGGAGATAGGAAGGGAGGGGAAAATAAGTGAGGGAGAGGGATAGAGAGAAGGGAGGGAGTGAAGAAAATATAAATTAAGAGAAACAGGAAAGTTAAATTGAAAACTACTATAAGAAAATACTTGAAAGTAAGAAAAATCTTTTATGGTGATTTGGTTCAGTTAGACAGGTAAGATTCAATAAGGAGCAATATGGTTGGTGTCCAAAGATACACTCAGGGGAATCAAGACCCATGAAGTCTGTGTTTAAATAGCTTTGCAGAAAAAAAAGTATGGAGAGATGGTTCTGAAGTTTTGTGAAGATGGATCATCTGGCCAACTTGGAAGTAAAACAGAAGCACAGTAAAAATTTGACCAGTGAATTAAGTAGCATTGATCCATTTTAAATAATGGGTCTGTGTATTAGTAAACTATTCTCTATATTGTTTGAACACTTTGGAAACATGAATTGTACTTTGCAATTGGATAGTTCAGGCTCAAGTCATTTGTCTCCAGTCATTAATGTGTAGATACATTACTAAGCCCTCTCACTTATCAGTCAGAGAAATAAATAAAGCAATATCAGATCAGTGTAGAGGAGGTGCAAGATATTAAACCACTTAAGTGAAAGATAATGAATAACATTTATTTTGAACAATACAGAGACTATGTCTTTAAATTCTATTTAAACTTGGAATACTAAAGAAACATAAGCTTTGAGAGTATAAAATGTAAGGAGATAAACACCTAGATAAATCATCACAAAAGAAAATACAACTCATAAAAGTCTTAAGGTCCCTCAAAATGTATTAACTCTATGATATGCCTTCTGCCATTCAATGTTTTAGTAGACATTATTTCTATCAGTATTTCATTAATCTTGAAGATTACAAGAGGAAATTTTCTGCAGAATATGTCCCCATCATGCACTCCTTTAAACATAAATGTTTCTTATGAATCCTTTTGAAATAATTTTTAATTTTGCATAGGCTAAATTATAGTCAATTAATTTCTAAAAGTGATTTTAGCTATATCTTTTAAGGTTCTAATGCTTTGATGTAAAAGTACCACAATATTTAGCTGTAGTTATACCTGAAAATTTTCAATTATAATACATGCTGATCATCGGATACTGTTTTACTAATAGTCTACTGAGTTTTCATCTTTTTCATGACTTTGGGAAAATTGAAGATTTCTTTAAAGAGAGAATGTGTATGCTCTTTTGCTTAAGTTCAGTCTGGCTATATTCCTGGAAAACTCTTGTGTCTTGCATAGGATTTGAATCTGGTTGTTCATGAATTTCTGTCACTGATATGAAGCTAACCAGTGTCAACCACTAGAACTAATCCATCACGTACAGTTGTCACAGCACAAAGAATGTCAATTATCTCTCACAAAGTAACTGCGATGGCAAAATCAATTCAAGAATGTGCAGCAAATTATCTTCTAAATATAGCATGAAAAGCTAGAGTCTGTGGCATTCTCAAAAGTTGCTTCCCTAAAGAAAAGCCAAATGGCAGTCTGTTAGACAACACACCAGACACAGAGATTTGAGACCTGAATAAAAGCCTTAAAAAACTAGGAAAATTCCATTGTATCTCAAATGGAAGAATCCAAGCATAATATAGAGGTGAAGAAAAGCAATAGCTCTCCGTTATGAGCTAATCTCTTTTTCTTGTTGGCCCACTGAAATAGGATTTACGTTAGTTTTCCAACTGAAGAGAGAGGAAGGAATGGTATCCACCTGGCATGATGTTCTTTTATTCCTGATTTATATCAAAAAATCCAATCTATCACATATGGGGTTTATGTGGATGAATTGTGACAGAATCTAAAACATAGCTTTAAGTGATGCTTTATGTAGAAGGTTAAGGTCAATTGCTTTCGATTAGCATTACAAAAGAAGTAAAATACTCATAAAACATCACTTAAAACGGGGATATTGTTATTTGCATACACCACTAAAGGCCAGATATTTACAACATTTATGTTAGAATTTAGATAATTTAGTCTGAATAAACAAGGGCAGCAGCATGACTTATTTGCTAATGTTTATTGAGCGCTTATTATATCAAGCACTGGACAAGGCAATGGTATACAGTCATGAACAAGCTAAAAAGAATTACTACCCTCATGGAGCTTACACTCTGTAGAATAAAATGTAACTCTTAAGAAACATAGCAGTAGACACCTCTTACGGGATTTCTCCCTCTTTGTGCTTTACATGTGGAGATGCCTACCTGACTATATTAACAATAAAAGGACCTTGTCCTGACAGTGTGTAATTACCCTAAGCATATTGCAATTATTTTGCAATGCCAAATAGAAAAAACAAGAAGGGAATTGTATGAAAGCCTCCTTTGAACAAAGAGGAATAACAGATTTTATTAACAGTTTCAAATGGAGAAAAAACTTGTGTTTAATTCTGTTTAGAGTTTAATGATCTCCACCTGACAATTAAAAGGGAGATCAAAATTAGAAATTCAATGAATATGTACAGTAGAAATTAAAGAAATTGCATTCCAAAACATATTTTATTTATTTTGACAAGTGTGATTTAGTTTCAATTAGTTAAGGTCATTTTAGTAGTACTGTGTTATTGATCTTGTAGAACATTTCACAAAATTGGCTAATTAATTCTTTCCTAGGAAATTAATGGCATTGATGAGCAATTTAATGGGAATGCCTGGGTTTTCAGATTAACAAAATAAGAAATATTAGTCTGTGCCAAACATCTATTTTATTTCTTAATCTGCCAATAAGTGAAAAAGGACACTGAACAGATTGATTTTTCTAGGAGGTGTGGTTTTTGGTGGAGGCAAGAAACTGCATAATCAGTAACTGGTTATTCCATACAAATGAACCACAAGTCAGTCAAAAAGTTATGACATTGCTGAATTATATGATGTATAAGGGGGTGGGAGTGGAAGGAGAAGTAGTCCTTGAACCTCATTGTCTAAGCCATTTTTAAGCGACAGAGCAAATAAATGGCACCCCAAGGGAGCAGTAGACACAGATGTATTAATCTTTCAGGCTTAGAATTAATGTTCTTAAGAACTATGTTTAAAGAATAAACAGGATCTTATGGTTTCCCAGTGACCGTTTAAGAAATTGACATTTAACCTCCTGACTCTGTGCTGCTAGGCCGTTGTTATAAAATCCAAAAAGATGCCACCATGCAATCCTCTCACTCAATACACTATTCTCTTGAGAGGCAAAGAGTTACAGACTGTACATGTCTGACCTTGGTATTTTGAACACTGCCAAGAGCAATATTCTCTTAAATTTTCTCCTCCTAATTAGTACAAGCTGTCTCTTGCTTTTTATCTCTCTACACTTAAGTGGAAATATGAGTCAAAAAAAGACAAATTGTTCTTTGCTCCTTTCCTAGCTGCCACCAAGACAAATGATGTTCCTATAGGTTATGGGAACACTTCAAGTAGCTAAGAGCCCTTTATTACTTTTTACTAGTACCATGTGTAATAAAGGGATGAAGAATTAGCAGTATGGCACATCACTTAGATAATGAGCACCTACTGAAATTTGAAGCATTAGATGTTCCTTAGTCAACGATTCTATTGTTAATTCCTTTATTTTTTTATATTTGGAGTAAAAGTAGTGAACAGAGGGATATATATAAGTATATATACACACACACATATAAATGCATGCATGGGGCTCTAAGTGTGGGTGTAGGTGTATATTCTGCTATGCAATTTGCAGGCGCAGATGTAAAGATAGTCTCAGGGATGATAAAAGGTAATGCCAATATCAAGAAGCATATTTATGCATATATATATATATAAAAAACTTACATGGTACATGGCATAAAAAAGGTTTCCAAATACATTGGCATGGGAGTTCTACATGACAAGAAGGATAATGGGTCTTAAGGGGTAGGTAACTCTGGGCCTTAAAGTATGGATAGATAATTCTTTGTCCATATGACAGGTAAGTTCACGCAGAAATCTGCCCCAGTACTCCCCATCCCTTGATTCTGCTCCAGAAAAAGAGAAAAGTGGAGAACACACTCAACCATATATATGTTTTATAGATGTGAAACAAAAGTAGCATGGAAAATATACACAAACACTGACAACAGTGTGAACTATGGAGGGGGATGATATGGAAGAATGCAACCAGAAGTGGTGGTTAAGGACCCTTTTACTCTTTCCACAATGATTTCTTTTCCTTTTGACAAGTAAAAATTTTGCAATAAAAGATGATAAATTAACTGTTTTTCACTATGAGTGGCAAGAATATGGATGCTTATTATATTACTAATTATTTTACTCTTTTATTTTTTTAAAGGATTGATGGAATTTCCATAGTTATACAGAAAGGGAATGGAGAAAGTCCACAGGACATATTGAAGAAATGGTCACTAATTCAGCAAGGTCATCAAGATATATAAATCAGAAAGTATCATTGTGGACTTTTTTTTTTACCAGAGTAAGAAATCTCGATTTTCTTCAATAAGCAGTAAGTAGCCTTATAAAGCTTTTGAAAAATATGACATAATAGTAGTTGTTTCTTAAGATACTAAACCTAACAAAAAATTCCTAAAAGGTTCAATTCTTGAAATCTGCATATATTCATCATGTGTTGATTTAACCCAATGCTTTTTCCTGGGCTAGAGAACCGAGAGAGGCAAAGGTAACAGGGGTTACTCTATTTGAATTATTCAGTGAGATGTTAATAAGGGACTGAACTAAGTGGCAGCAGGACACAATAGATGAAAGAGGTATAACTGATTGATTGGACTTAGCAAAGGGTTAGAGAGGAGCCGAGAACATCTCTTAAGTAATTGGTAATGTTAAGGGCAAAAAAGGAAATTGGAGTTTTTTTAAAAGATGAGAGATATTACAGCTTCTTTATCTGCCAATGGGAATGACAAGATAAGAAGAAAAAATGGGTGCTGCAGGAGAGAAGGGTCTCTTACAGGAGCCATGTCCTGTGGTAGGCAGAAAGGATGGAACCCAGTGCCTTTATCAAGGCCCTACCCTTAGATAGTGTCACTGGGAGTTCCTCCATCATCACTACACATGTAGATGGGTAGATTTGGAGATGTTCCTGTGCGACTGTTCCCTTCTGATTGTTTCTATGTTCAAATAGCATGCAAGTTTGATAGCTCAAAAAGAAGAGAATGGTAGAAATGGATGTTTGACAAAGAAGAAGAAGTGAAATAGTCATCTAGGAGAGTAAGAGACAATTTATGAAGGAAATGTAAAGGGTTGCTGGACAGAGCTAGGATCCAACTTGAGGATAATGCTCATTTACTGAAGATCAGGGAATATTGGTGTACACTTTTCTCCAGACATGAGTAGATGCAAAAGAGGCTAAAAATTGAATATGACCGGAGTTGGGTTTTGCAGGCATATAAGAAGATGCAATGGAAGGGGCCAAAGAATTGAAGATGTAAGCAACAGGCAAGTGTAAATATGAACTACAGAATCTAAGTTTGGATGAAGGAATATGAGAATTTTAAGGAGTTGAGAAAATGTTTGGCATGAAAACGCCATGTGACCACAGACTGAAGATCCCAGACAAGTGGATGAATTGTGTGGGGAAGGAAATAGCAGGAATGTGTTAGAAAGATATGAAGGATGGATTGGAGAGTGGGGTGTTTCAAACTGAGATTATGCAGGGAGAGCTATTACTAGTAATGACAAAGTCTAGGATTACCCCATGGGAGTGAGCAGCTGATATAAAGTAGGGAATGAGATTCTAGTCAAAAAGGAGAACAAGGAACTAAAAAGTCAGGAGGTTAACAGGATCATCTGCATGAATACAGAATCACCAAAAATTGTGACAAAGTACTAATGGAGTGAATCATGTGGTAAAATCTTCAAGAAATGAAGAAAAGTGATCTGGGGGTTTGTTAGATACAACAAGTCTGGGTAATGGGCAATCTCTTGGTAACAACTTCAAAAGAAATCAGGGGTTTTGGAGGAGGACAGAAGGAAAAAAAGGTCTTAAAGAAACAAGAGGAATCAGGAAATAACATTATCTAAACTCCAGACCCAGTAGTTCGAAGGGCATGAGAGAGAAAACCAACACTACTTGAAAAGACAACTCTTTAAGTCATCTCTAGGGAGAGCCAGAATGTAGCTGGAGAAAGAGGAGGAAGGCAATATTCTGAGAAGAGGTGAAGTATGAAGCGGACATCTCTGATGACTGACTGTATATTCCAGAGGGCGAAGAAGAAGGGTTTGGGATTGAGGAAGGTGGGAGATGTGGGCTAGTTAAAGGATATTCCAAGAATGAGCATCCATGTGATGAGATGACTTGAATATCTTGGGCTTCTTGTGTGACTGACAGAAATCCAGATATCGGGCATGGTGAGGTTAATGCTGGAATTTTCTAAGAGGGTGGTGGTGTCTTTCGTGCTGTGTGGGGAGGAAACCATCTGGACAGGAGCACATGTAACTAATCGTGTCACTTCTTCAGTTGCATCAAAATACACTGAGGTCGGGAATTGCTAGGAGCCCTGAACCAAGATGGCAGAGTAGAAGGATGTGCTCTCACTCCCTCTTGTGGGAACACCAGAATCACAACTAGCTGCTGGACGATCATCGACAGGAAGACACTGGAACTCACCAAAAAAGATACCCCACATCCAAAGACAAAGGAGAAGCCACGATGAGACAGTAGGAGGGGCGTGATCACAGTAAAATCAAATCCCATAACTGCTGGGTGGGTGACTCACAGACTGGAGAAAACTTATACCACAGAAGTCCACCCACTGGAGTGAAGGTTCTGAGCCCCACGTCAGGTTTCCCAACCTGGGGGTCCAGCAACAGGAGGAGGAATTCCTAGAGAATCAGACTTTGAAGCCTAGTGGAATTTGATTGCAGGGCTTCAACAGGACTGGGGGAAACAGAGACTCCACTCTTGGAGGGCACACACAAAGTAGTATATGCATCGGGACCCAGGGGAAGGAGCAGTGACCCCAGGGGAGACTGAACAAGACCTACCTGCTGGTGTTGGAGGGTCTCCTGCAGAGGCGTGGGTGGCTGTGGCTCACTGTGGGGAAAAGGACACTGGCAGCAGAAGTTCTGGGAAGTACTCCTTGGCATGAGCCCTCCCAGAGTCTGCCACTAGCCCCACCAAAGAGCCCAGGTAGTCTTCAGTGTTGGGTTGCCTCAGGCCAAACAACCAACAGGGAGGGAACCCAACCCCACCCATCAGCAGTCAAACGGATTAAAGTTTTACTGAGCTCTGCCCAACAGAGCAACAGTCAGCTCTACCCACCGCCAGTCCCTCCCATTAGGAAACTTGCACAAACCTCTTAGCTAGCCTCATCCACCAGAGGGCAGACAACAGAAGCAAGAAGAACTACAATACTGCAGCCTGTGGAACAAAAATCACATTCACAGAAAGACAGACAAGATGAAAAGGCAGAGGGCTATGTACCAGATGAAGGAACAAGATAAAACCCCAGAAAAACAACTAAATGAAGTGGAGATAGGCAACCTTCCAGAAAAGAATTCAGATTAATGATAGTGAAGATGATCCAGGACCTCGGAAAAAGAATGGAGGCAAAGATCGAGAAGCTGCAAGAAATGTTTAACAAAGACCTAGAAGAATTAAAGAAAAAACAGAGATGAACAATACAATAACTGAAATGAAAACTACACTAGAAGGAATCAATAGCAGAATAACTGAGGTAGAAAAATGGATAACTGACCTGGAAGACTGAATGGTGGAATTCACTGCTGTGGAACAAACTAAGAAAAAAGAATGAAAAGAAATTAAGACAGCCTAAGAGACATCTGGGACAATATTAAACACAACAACATTCGCATTATAGGGGTCCCAGAAGGAGAAGAGAGAGAGAAAGGACCTGAGAAAATATTTGAAGAGATGATAGTCAAAAACTTCCCTAACATGGGAAAGGAAACAGCCACCCAAGTCCAGGAAGCGCAGAGAGTCCCATACAGGGTAAACCCAAAGAGAAACACACCAAGACACACAGTAATCAAACTGACAAAAATTAAAGACAAAGAAAAATTATTGAAAGCAGCAAGGGAAAAATGACACATAACATACAAGGGAACTCCCATAAAGTTAACAGCTGATTTCTCAGCAGAAACTCTACAAGCCAGAAGGGAGTGGCATGATATACTTAAAGTGATGAAAGTGAAGAACTACAACCAAGATTACTCTACCCAGCAAGGATCTCATTCAGATTCGATGGAGAAATCAAAAGCTTTACAGACAAGCAAAAGCTAAGAGAATTCAGCACCACCAAACCAGCTCTAAAACAAATGCTAAAGGAACTTCTCTAAGTGGGAAACACAAGAGAAGAAAAGGACCTACAAAAACAAACCCAAAACAATTAAGAAAATGGTCATAGGAAAGTACATATCAATAATTACCATAAAACGTGAATGGATTAAATGCTCCAACCAAAAGACACAGGCTTGCTGAATGGATACAAAAACAAGACCCATATATATGCTGTCTGCAAGAGACCCACTTCAGACCTAGGGACACATACAGACTGAAAGTGAGGGGATGGAAAAAGATATTCCATGCAAATGGAAATCAGAAGAAAGCTGGAGTAGCAATACTCATATCAGATAAAATAGACTTTAAAATAAAGAATGTTACAAGAGACAAGGAAGGACACTACATAATGATCAAGGGATCAATCCAAGAAGAAGATATAACAATTATAAATATATATGCACCCAACATATGAGCACTTCAATACATAAGGCAACTGCTAACAGGTCTAAAAGAGGGAATCGACAGTAACACAATAATAGTGGGGGAATTTAACACCTCACTTACACCAATGGACAGATCATCCAAAATGAAAATAAATAAGGAAACACAAGTTTTTATGACAGAACAGATAGATTTAATTGATATTTATAGGACATTCCATCCATAAACAGATTACGCTTTCTCCTCAAGTGTGCAAAGAACATTTTCCAGGATAGATCACATCTTGGGTCACAAACAAGCCTCAGTAAATTTAAGTAAATTGAAATCATATCAAGCATCTTTTCTGACCACAACACTATGAGATTAGAAATGAATTACAGGGAAAAAACTTAAAAAACACAAACACATGGAGGTTGAACAATACGTTACTAAATACCCAAGAAATCAGGAAGAAATCAAAGAGGAAATCAAAAAATACCTAGAGACAAATGACAATGAAAACACGATGATCCAAAACCTTTGGGATGCAGCAAAAGCAGTTCTAAGAGGGAAGTTTATAGCAATAAAAGCCTACCTCAAGAAACAAGAAAAATCTCAAGTAAACAATCTAACCTTACACCTAAAGGAACTAGAGAAAGAAGAACAAACAAAACCCAAAGTTAGCAGAAGGAAGGAAATCATAAAGATCAGAGCAGAAATAAATGAAATAGAAACAAAGAAAACAATAGCAAAGATCAATAAACTGAAAACCTGGTTCTTTGAGAAGATAAACAAAACTGATAAACCATTAGCCAGACTAATCAAGAAAAAAGGGAGAAGACTCAAATCAATAAAATTAGAAATGAAAAAGGAGAAGTTACAACAGACACCACAGAAATACAAAGCATCCTAAGAGACTACTACAAGCAAGTCTATGCCAATAAAATGTACAACGTGGAAGAAATGGACAAATTTTTAGAAAGGTATAACCTTCCAATACTGAACCAGGAAGAAATAGAAAATATGAACAGACCAATCACGAGCACTGAAACTGAAACTGTGATTAAAAATCTTCGAACAAACAAAAGTCCAGGACCAGAGGGCTTCACAGGCAAATTCTATCAAACATTTAGAAAAGAGCCAACACCCATCCTTCTCAAACTCTTCCAAAAAATTGCAGAGCAAGGAACACTCCCAAACTCATTCTATGAAGCCACCATCACCCTGATACCAAAACCAGACAAAGATACTACAAAAAAAGAAAATTACAGACCAATATCACTGATGAATATAGATGCAAAAATCCTCAACAAAATACTAGCAAACAGAATCCAACAACACATTAAAAGGATCATACACCATGTTTAGGTGGGATTTATCCCAGGGATGCAAGGATTCTTCAATATACACAAATCAATCAATGTGATACACCATATGAACAAATTGAAGAAGAAAAGTCATATGATCATCTCAATAGATGCAGAAAAAGCTTCTGACAAAATTCAACACCCATTTATGATAAAAACTCTTCAGAAAGTGGGCATAGAGGGAAACTACCTCAACATAATTAAGGCTATATATGACAAACCCACAGCAAACATCATTCTCAATGGTGAAAAACTGAAAGTATTTCCTCTAAGATCAGGAACAGGTTAAGGATGTCCACTCTCACCACTGTTATTCAACATAATTTTGGAAGTCCTAGCCATGGCAATCACAGAAGAAATAAAAGAACAGAAATTGGAAAAGAAGAAGTAAAACTGTCACTGTTTGCTGATGACATGATACTATACATAGAGAATCCTAAAGATGCCACCAGAAAACTACTAGAGCTAGTCAATGAATTTGGTAGAGTTGCAGGATACAAAATTAATGCACAGAAATCTCTTGCATTCCTATACACTAATGATGAAAAATCTGAAAGAGAAATTATGGAAACACTCCCATTTACCACTGCAGCAAAAAAAATAAAATACCAAGGAAAAAACCTACCTAGGGAGACAAAAGACCTGTATGCAGAAAACTGTAAGACACTGATGAAAGAAATTAAAGGTGATACCAACAGATGGAGAGGTATACCATGTTCTTTGATTGGAAGAATCAATATTGTGAAAATGACTATACTACCCAAAGCAATCTACAGATTCAATGCAATTCCTATGAAATTACCAATGGCATTTTTTACGGAACTAGAACAAGAAATCTTAAAATTTTTATGGAGACACAAAAGGCCCCGAATAGCCAAAGCAGTCTTGAGGGAAAAAAACCGAGTTGGAGGAATGAGACTCCCTGACTTCAGACTATACTACAAAGCTACAGTAATCAAGACAATATGGTACTGGCACCAAAACAGAAACATAGATCAATGGAACAAGATAGAAAGCCCAGAGGTAAACCCAGGCACCTATGGTCAACTATTCTATGACAAAGGAGGCAAGGATATACAATGGAGAAAAGACAGCCTCTTCAATAAGTGTTGCTGGGAAAACTGGACAGCTACATGTAAAAGAATGAAATTAGAACACTCCTTTGTTTCTACCGAACACATTCCCACCAATTTTCCCCCTCACCCACTGTGCAAAGCTGCCTGGAGAGTTATGTGTATAAGGTGAGCTCATCAAACTTGGACAAAGGGAAAAAGAAAGGCTCTGTCCTGGAGAGAAGTTTTTGGCTCTATAAACAGAAACAGAAAGAAGAGGGCAGACTCTAGGCAATATCCTAGTGCCCAAAATAAGATAAGTGGACTAATAGAAGTCAGAAGAAAAATAAACAATGACAGGACAATGACACCAGACTGCGTGCCTCAGTTGTTAGTGGTGATGATAGCAGACAATTTAGAGGTAGGAATTTCTAAATCTCTTTTGGATTCCTCTAGTTTAGATAGTTTAAATAAGGCTTTTATCTTTTCTACTGGCAT